AAACCCCATCGCTACTAAAAATACAAAGATTAGCTGGGCATGGTGGGAGGTGCTTGTAATCCCAGCTATTCAGGAGGCTGAGGAAGGAGAATTGCTTGAACCCGGGAGGTGGGGGGTTGCATTGAGCCGAGGTCGTGACACTGTATTCCAACCTGGGCAATAGAGTGAGACTCTGTCTCAAAAGAAAAAGAAAAGAAAAAAAGGTCAATTAGGGCAATTTAATAGAATTCAACCCAATACAAATATGGAATGAGGGAAGAAGGGGGAGAAGGCTGAGGTGTGGCTTAGAAATATTCAGATGAACTCATGACACTAACTGTGTCCCCTGAGAGGGCCCAGAAAGCAGTGACACCCCAGTAGCCTTGAGCACATTCAGCACCCAGAGCTTGGCCTCTAAATCCCATTTCCTTGTAAAAGGGATTGGAGTTTCTCTGAAAAATGGCTGACTTCAGGGCTTGGGCAGGGAGGAGGTGCCCAAAGAATAATGGAAATGTCAGAAGGATGCAGGAAAGATGTCCACACTTGGACAATTAACTGTGGATTAACTCAGAATATGATATCAATGTTAGATTTCCCAATTTTGTATGAAATTATAGTGGCTATATAAGAGGCTGGCCTTTTTTTTTTTTTTTTTGGGACAGAGTCTTCCGTTGCCCAAGGCTGAGTGCAGTGTATGACTTGGCTCACTATAACCTCCACACTCCTGGGATCAAGCAATTCGCCCACCTCAGCCTTCCAAGTGCAGAATTACAGCTCCCGCCCGCATGACCCGCTACTTTTTTTTTTTTTTGAGACAGAAGTCCCCGCTCATGTCCGCACCAGGCCTGAGTGCATGGCCGATCTCAGCTCAGCTGCAACTCCGCCTCCCGGGTTCACGCCATTCGTCCTGCCCAGCCTCCAGTACTTGGGACTACAGGCAACCCACCACCTCGCCGGCTATTTTTGTATTTTTTTAGTAGAACGGGGTTTCACCGTGTTAGCCAGGATTGGTCCTCGATCTCCCGACCTCGTGATCCGCCCGTCTCGGCCTCCCAAAGTGCTGGGATTACAGGCTTGAGCCACCGCGCCCGGCCTGCCCGGCTACTTTTTATATTTTTTTGTAGAGATAGGGTTTCACGCTGGCCAGACTGGTTTTGAACTCCTGACCTCAGGTGATCCACCCGCCTTGGTCTCCCAAAGTACTGGGATTACAGGCATGAGCCCCGGCGCCTGGCTGAGACTGGCCTTATTCTTAGGAAATACACAAACTGAAGTATTTAGTGGCAAAGGTACACAATGTCTTTACTGCAGCCTCGACCTCCTGGGCTCAAGTGACCCTCCTGCCTCAGTCTCTCAAATCTCTGGGACTACAGGGACATGCCACCATGCCTAGCTAACTTTTGTACTTCTTGTAGAGCTGGAGTCTCACTATGTTGCCCAGGGTGGTCTCAAACTCCTAGGCTCAAATGATCCTCCTACTTTGGCCTCCCAAAGTGGTGGGATTATAGGTGTAAGCCACTGTGCCTGGCCAGAAAAAGTTTTTTACATATATATGGAGAGAGAGAGAGAGAGAGAATATGATAAAGCAAATGGGGTGACATGTAAACACTGATTTATCTGGCTAAAACATATTCAGGAGGCCGGGCATGGTGGCTCATGCCTGTAATCCCAGCACTTTGGGAGGCCAAGGTAGGTGGATCACCTGAGGTAGGGAGTTCGAGACCAGCCTGGCCAACATGGTGAAACCCCATCTCTATTAAAAATATAAAAATTAGGCTGGGCACGGTGGCTCACGCCTGTAATATCTCCAGCCACTGGGAGCCAAAGGTGGAGCAATCACGAGCTCAAGCAGATTACCATTCCTGGCAACAACCGTGAACCCCATCCACCAAAAAATCAAAAAAAGTCCTGGCAGGTCGGGCGCTGATCCAGCTACCGATCTGAAAAGCAAAAGTGTGAACCTGGAACGGAGACGCAGTGACCAGATCCACGCCACTGCACTCCCAGCCTGGGGCAAATAGAAAGAGACGCCTCTCCAAAACAAAAGAAAAACCAAAAAAAATAGCTGGTGTGTGGCCCACCTTGATCCCACTACTTGGAGGCTTAAAGTCAGAGAAGGCTTAACCCGGAGCAAGAGGTGCAGTGAGCTGGAGACTGTGCCACT